TTAGTGATTCAATTACACAGAATCAGCAGCATGCATGTCATGACTGTTGGGTCTGTTGGATTTCTATTACTCTACTACACCTGCTAGTAAATTATTTACCATGTAGAAATATCATTTCTGAGCACAACGGTATATCTAAAACAATAAAAGTCCAAAAATAGAAAAGGATCCATGGAAAAAATCCCCATGAAATATCAGATAAAGCACATAGCTTATGAATGCATATATCTTCACTTCTTCCTTCAAAATGTAGAGCACCTCCACCACACCAGGTGAAAAACCTGCTCACCTCAAATAAATTAATGCAAGCTCGTCTGAACTGTCTAGCCAAGGGCCTCACATCTTCTCCAGGCAACTTCCACCCTCCTCTGCAGCTTGCAACCAATGGGTATATATCCCATGCAACAGAAAGGCCAAAACATAGTTCTCTCCATATAAAATGTATTAAATCCCCACCATCAAAATTACGCTTACAAAACAATGTATATAGCGCACATGTATAAAACTAGCCCGCAACCTGCTCAGCACTCTGCTAGCAAGATGGCGGCAGTATGATGTCACAGGCCCGGCTCTTCCTCCATAGAAGCATTGACCTTGCCAATAGGGCTTCCTCAGTAGGCTTAAGGTGTCACTAAACCCAGGACCCTGCATCCACTATATCTGGTCTCCCACAGTACACAAAACATGGAAGTGCAATTATTTTAGTGAATATAAATTGCTAAATACCTTTTCTCATCAGAAGTTAGAGCAGTCTTGTGGCTTCTATCTGTGTCCAGCCCAGCACTAGCTAAAGCTTGTAGGGGGAGTTTTCTTTTCTGCTCTAGGAGGATGGAAATCCCCTGACCTCTGCCTGGACAGTGCTGATTGGCCCTGTGCTGATCACATGTACTCTCCCAAGAAAAAAAAAAACCTCTCTAGCAATATACACCAAACTGAGTATGTGTATGCCTACGGTTCAGTCTGGAGATATGTGGTGGTCGCTTGAAAAAGGGGAGGAACAGAGAAAAAAGGATCAAACAGCCTCTTTACACAATGCAGAGGATTAACCCCTTAGGTTCCACAGTGAGTATAACAAGCATGTTTTACTGCATATACAGATTGATTTTGCTGTTGTGGGTTAATAACACTTTAACAATTTGACCTCAGGAATGCCCGCGGCATAGCACTATGCTGGTGAGTCACTCAGCCATTCACACTCAAGCGCGGTCTGACACATTCTAACTTGCACTTGCCTGGGCTGCAGACCAGTTAATTCAGTCTTCATGGAGTAGTAGAAGAAATAACGTGTGAGCACTGCCCTGTTGGAGGAAAATGAGTGACAGGAATCTGGAGCAGCACACTAACATCAAATTTTGTGTGAAAATTGGCAAAAGTGCAACCTTAGCTCTGTTACAAAAGGCTTATGGGGATCATTCCATGAAGAAAACAAGTGTTTTTGAATGACATAAGCAGTTTAATTAGGGGGCGGGAAGATGTCCAAGATGACGCAAGAAGTGGGCAGCCGTAAAAGCAAAGGATGGAGGCAAATGTAGAGGTCAAAAACTGAGTGTGTGAATGATGGCAGATGGCAAGAAGAATTGAACATGAACAGGGAAACAGTGCTGCAGATTATAATGGAGGATTTGTGAATGAGAAAGATTTCCACAAAGATGGTGTTTTGAATCTTGACAGAAGGTCAGAAAGAACATTGTCTACAAATTTCATCCAATCTTTTGAAGAATGCAGAGGTCGTTGATATTTTTTTTTACAGTCTGTTCAGGGAATTAAATTGTCATACCTCATATATCAATGTAAAAAAGCTTTTTCTGCAGTAGGGAGTAAGCCCTGGTTCACACTTCTCATGTGATGTGAAGCGACATGCAACACAGAAAGTGACATGACATGACAAAACAAACTCATTTAAATGCGACTCAAGTCGCAGCAACAAAACAAAATAATTCCTGCACTACTTTTCTGCTTCTTCCTTGCAACATGAGTACCATAGACTGCAATGTTAAAATAACAAAAGTTGCAAGGAAGTTGTTTCTTTGTCTTATCTTTGTGACTTTGGCTGCAACTTGAGAGGGTTTTGTAAGTTCAATAATATATGTCACACGCTGTATTGTTATTATTGGCCAAAGCCAAAGTTGCAAAACATCAAAGTCTCATTGAAAGTCACACTGAAGTCACATCAAGTCACAAGCAAGTCACAATGAAAAGTCAAACAACTTTGGGGTCACAGCAGTGTGAACAAGTCGGTTGTTCATGTGGCTTTAAGGTTGACATTAAAAATACAAATACTTTAACTAACATGTTTGGGGGATGCTTTGCATCTGTACATGGTGTTACATAGCAGTACAATTTTCATGCAAAGTACCCATTTGATCCTGACTTCTCTGCTCCTCCTCTAGTTCAAATGTCCACGTCTTATCTCCTGATAACACAGACTGAACCATAGTTCACACCTGAAACTACCTTTTGGTTTCTTAGGTAGCCAAGTGTTTCATTGATGGTTTAGAGGTTTTTTTCTAGGTGACTATGTACTAACATGTCTCTCAAATTCCTACCCCGTCTGAAGGTTATCTTAGGGTCTTAGATCTTAGGATCTGTGATAGATATTTGTCCTCATGCAAAATGTTCCAATATCTCTTTATGATGTTAAAAATCTGCCGATTGTACCTATGGTACGTATGCCTTGCTGGTCATCCACTTTTATGATCTTCTGACCCAACAGATATTCTCTTGGAACCCCTTTCACTTTCTCATAGGATTTAATCAAATCAGTCTTATGATAGCCACGTCTCACAAATCTGTCATATAATTTTTGACTCTCAATTTGAATGCTCCTTTCGTTGAGCAATATCTCTTTGCTCTCATAAATTGGCCAGTGGGGATTCCTCTTTTCAAGGCTGCTGGATGTAAACTTCTGCAATGTAACAGGCTATTCGTGGAGGTCGGATTTTGATAGATTGTTGTATTAATATTGCCTCCTTCACCCCTTTTAATCTCCAAGTCCAAAAAAATGTATGCTATCATATTTAATTTCACTTGTGAAGTACATTCCAATACTGTTTTGATTTAAGGTGGCTACAAATTCCACAAACAGATCCTTTTGACCCTGCCATAATATAAACACATCATCAATGAATCTTGCCCACATGAGAATATGTGACGTAAAATATTCTAGTTCTTCTACAAAGACCATAGTACACTCCCACCACCCCACTTTCTTTGGGAGCACTTTTTGAATGCACATTGTATTTACTCCTCTCCCCCCTTTTTTTTGGAGAGGTCTGTACTGCGTTTTACAGTGCATCCTTTGCATTCCTCAAGACAGTGAGGTATTTTTGACTGGATATGGTGATGTATGGGGCTTGTCCATGAGAGGCTGACATTTAAGCCTGTGAATGGGTGTACCCATATTACATATCTGTACCAAGACAGATTATACTATCTAATTAGTTTTGTCCATTGGGTAACTCCATTTCCATAATAGAGATTATATATTCAAGCTGATATGTTTATGATCAAACTACGGTGTCTCTTTTTATGCCGTCACTTCATCTAAAACGGTATGGTATTTGATTTGGTCTGGTGTTATTAACCATTTGGATGTAAGGTAAATAATTGCAATGGCATCCAGCCATATTGTTGTGCGCAGTACATTCCACTCTAACAGGCATTAATAACAGCTGAGCATACATTTTATATATATCTGAATAAAGGTTATATTTTAGATTCATCAATTGGCCAGATGGTGCATAGGGACATGCACCCTCGTCCGGCATAGATTTGTTATTTGCCAAAGATGATGATTTACAATTAGGGCTTAGTTCAATAGTTAAACTCCAGCTAATACTTTATAATCAGTTACAGCAAACAGTTTTTCCTTTTGGGATAAAGATTTTACATAAATAAATAAAAGCTGATCATTTTAAAGTGGAACTGCACTGCATCTTAGTACCACAAACCAAAAATGCTATTAGATTAATTTTTAATATTCAAAACAAATTCCTCTATCCATCCATGTCTCCGTGCTTTATTTTGCTGAGAAATCATTTTGAGAAACACCTCAGTGTCAGCGGCCATCTTGAGTAAGGGCAGATGATTCATGTAGCAGTTACTTTGTGGAATCCATATTTTCTTGCTTGAGAATCCTCCCTCCCCTCCTGAAGACTCCTGGGATGTATGACATCATTTGCCTAGGCCTGGAAACCAGGAAGTAAATGAAGAAATGCAAAAAAAGTTAAAACATGTAAATATCTTATACTTTGCCATCTATTTACTAATTCTAGCAGCATAAGGATTGGAAATAGTCCATGTTGATTGAGAGAGTGAAGTTCCACTTTAAGCACCCCTGCTAGTGTTAAATGGTCTGTTTCATCCCTGTAACTGAAAGAGAGCTTTTCTGTTGAAAAAAAAACAGGCTTACTGGCTGGATCACTAGATGAATACAGAAGAAAGAAAGCCTAAAAAAGGAACCTAATGCAGCCATCACATCTAAGAATTAGTAGGCTGCAATATAATAAATGTTTGCTTTTGGGTTTAATATTGTCTTAAATAATGATTTGCCCTCCAGAGGATTTACACCCCTGCCTGACCAGGCTATTGTTTGCGTTACAGCGATGCGTTACTTTGACTAATAATTACGCAGTTATGCAACGTTGCACCCAAAATGACATTTACATCCTTTTTTCCCCACAAATAGAGCTTTCTTTTGGTGGTATTTGATCGCCTGTGCATTTTTTACTTTTTGTGCTATAAATAAAAAAGACCTAAAATTTTGAGGGAAAAAAACATTGTTTTTGACTTTTTGCTATTAAACATGTCCAGTAAAAAAATGTTAAAAATCAAATTTCATCATAAATTTAGGCCAAAATGTATTTTGCTACTTGTCTTTGCCAAACAAAAATCCCAATACATGTAAATTAATTGGTTTACGTGAAATTTATAGCGTTTACAAATGGCGGTATATATACCGGAACTTTTTTTTTTTACTATTAATGGCGGCGATCAGTGACTTATTGAGGGACTGCGGCGGGCATTCTGACACTGGGGGAAACTGATTTGGTGTAACTGACATCCCCAGTGACACCAATACAGTGGTCAGTATTAATAAAAAGAACTGAGACTGTACTAATGGCACTGGCAAGAAGGGGTTAACATTTGGGGCGATCAAAGGGTTAACTGTGTGCTGTGTGTGTTTCACTATGGGGCTGTGTCTGTGCTTTCCACTGTAAGCAAACTGCTTTGTATGGCTCAGCTATGCTGAGCCATACAAAGCAGTGTGCTGGAGCTGACAGGGGAGAGAAGCGCATTGTTTACATACAGTTCTCTCCCCCTGTCGGTATTACTCGGCGATCACCAGGTGGTGGCGAGTAATCACCGGCCGGGACTCAGTGATTGACAGCCGAGGCCGTGACTGGCGGCGCGGGTAGGGTGCGCGCACCCCCTACCTGGAAATGCAAAATCACGTATATATATAGACGTGATTTTGCACATCCCTACCACCCTGTAGCAGCATTTCTGCTATAGGGTGTCGGTAAAGCAGTTAAAAAAGGAGTATAAATTAAGGTTTTGGGTTTAAAACTGCTTTAAAATATATGTTTCAGGGTACACTTATCCCTGATCCTTGCTTCTGTGCTCAATGATCTATGGAGAGTTGTGTGCTCTGGTGCAGTATTTGCTCAGACTAAAAGAACCATTCGAACCACAAGTGAACTGTGCCAGGGACCACCTCTTCCAAGTGGTCCTGGATATGGAATGCCTAACTGTTCTTGAGCACGGTTTGGAGTGCACACACTACGCAAACAAACCAAACTTTGGTGTCCGTTTATGAACCAGCAGTAATAGATCGCTGCTCAGTTCTCCGGCATTCTCAGAGAACACAGTTCTCCTGTGAATGCCGTTTATGAAGCATATGTAGATCAGTTCTCCGAACGAAGGGAGAACGGTCTCCAAACGCTGGAAAACGGCTGATTTTACTATAATCTCACGAGATTACAGTAAAAGTTCAGTTTACTAAGCAGAGGTAAATTATCTCTGCTTAGTTTGCGGTTCCTCCGATTCTCCAGCTCTGGGCTGGAGAATCTAGAGGGAGAACACAGATCTCCAGTGAAGGGCTGAACATGTTTTCCTGAGTGTTATAAACTGTGAATGACCAGAGAATAGCTGCGATCCTCTGAATCGCAGCTATTCTCTGTGTCATAAAAAGGACACCCAAGAGGGAGAACCATGTCCGTTAAACCTACCAGTGTGAGTGCATCCTATGCAGACGTGAGCTCACTGCAGTTCCGGGCAATAATCTGGTAACCATAAAAGTTGCACATAGGCTCTCATTGAGAATAATGGCCCTTCCATCTACTTGAACCAAGCAGGTAAACTGGAAAGGCAATATGCTATGGGACTGCAAGAACAGGTGCAGGAGTTGCTGTGTTGGGATCAGTTAAAACTGCTGTCTGCATCTGAGGCCTGTTTGTGAAGGAGGGCAGAGTTACAGGGCATATTTGATTGTTAGAATCAAAACCATTTTTATTCTTCTAATCCCTATTGTGCCAGGGATATCCTGGAACCCATTAAAGATGAGTCATGTGGCACAACTGATGCTAAATTATAGATTCAAAGTTATACCACTTCCCGGTTTCCTAATGTTATACTGTTCTTCTACACCTGTAATAAGAAATGAGCCTGTTCTCACCAAATCCATTGATAGCTTTGATGTCTTCTCTTGTTCCGTCGTTTGTTTTACCTCATGTGAACTTGGAGAGACCAGTGAAATCTTAATGTAGGATGTGAGCTGAAACTCCAATATCTCCAGGTTCTCAATCCTGTGTTTGTTAATATTCTACTTCTGACTGCGTTATTACATTTACCAAAGGGAAGCCATTCAAAGAGAGAGATTCCGGCAGCCTGATAGAGATATAGAGGAGCAATTGTTTTTTAATATAGCTGTCGCTTTTTGTCATACGGTGAATTCAAGAACTACATTGATAATCATCATATGCATACATAACAGTGTAGAAGGGCCTTTTACAGAAAAAGACAGTTTTTAAAGCTCAAGGATAGCAGCTACAAATAATTTTCAAAAACCCAAAAAACAACCTCTTCAACATTTGTTAGTTATTACTGTCCCTGTGCACAACACATGAGGAAATAAAGTGCTCTTTACAGTATAAGACTGTACCTATAATATTATTAATCACAACATCTGCTCTTAAAGTGTTACTAAACCCACAGCAGTAAAATCAGTCTGTATATGTAGTAAAGCATACTTGTTATACTCACTGCGAAACCTAAGGGGTTAATCTTCCGCATTGTGTAAAAAGGATGTTTGATCCTGTCTTCTCTGATCCTCCCCTTCTATTATCCCCAATATATCTCCTGATAGAACAGAGGCTTGGAGTCACTCTGCACATGCTCACTTTGGTGTGTATTGCTAGTGAGGTTTTTTTTTTTCTTGTTAGAGTGCATGTGATCAGCACATGGCCAAATCAGCACTGTCCAGACAGAGGGTCAGGGGTCCTGCAGGGAGAGTGAAAAATCCTCCTACAAGCTTTAACCAGTACTCTGCTGAGTCACAAGACTGCTCTAACTGCAGATGAGAAAAGTGTATTCTGAACAGTTTATATTTGCTAAAATCACAAGACTGCTCTAACTGCTGATGGTAAAAGGTATTTAACAGTTTATATTTGCTAAAATAATTGCATTGCAAGAGTCTTTCAAAAGGCATCTTGTTTGAGGTATCTTTGCCCATTCTTCCTTACAAAAGTCTTCCAGTTCTTTGAGATTTCTGGGCTGTCTGTCACGCACTGCTCTTTTAAGGTCTATCCATAGATTTTCAATTATGTTGAGGTCAGCAGATTGTGAAGGCCATGGCAAAAACCTTCAGTTTACGCCTCTTGATGTAATCCCCCGTGGATTTCGAGGTGTGTTTAGGATCATTATCCATTTGTAGAAGCCATCCTCTCTTTAACTTCAGCTTTTTCACAGATGGCATCAAGTTACCATCCAAAATTTGCTAAAATTTTATTGAATCCATTTTTCCTTCTACTCGTGAGATGTTCCCTATGCCACTGACTGCAACACAACCCCAAAGCATGATTGATCCAACCCCATGCTTAACAGTTGGACAGAGGTTCTTTTGATTAAATTCTGTGCCCCTTCTTCTCCAAACGTACCTTTGCTCATTCCGGCCAAAAAGTTCAATTTTAACCTCATCGGTCCACAGAACATGTTTCCAAAATGCATCAGGCTTGTCTATATGTTCATTTGCAAAGTTCAAACGATGATTTTTGTGGTGAGGGCGTAGAAGAGGTTTTCTTCTGATGACTCTTCCATGAAGACCATATTTGTACAACTATCTCTTTATAGTGGAATAGTGTACCACAACTCCAGTGTCTGCCAGATCTTTCTGGAGGAATCGTGCAGTCAAACATAGGTTTTGAATTGTTTTTCTCACAATCCTGCGAGCTGTTCTGTCTGAAATTTTTCTTGGTCTTCCAGATCTTGCTTTATCTTCCACTGTTCCTGATGACTGCCATTTCTTAATTACATTCCGAACAGAGGATATTGACATCTGAAAACACTTTGATATCTTCTTATAGCCTTCTCCAGCTTTGTGAGTGTCAACTATTTTCAGTTTCAGTTTTCTAGACAACTGCTTAGAAGAACCCATGGTGCTGATTGTTGGGGCAAGGTCAGATGAGTCTGGGCATTTAAAACCTTTGAGATTGACATCACCTGGTCTTCCCAGACGATGATTGAGAACAATCCATGACACTGGCAGGTCTCAGCTTTGCAAAGGGGGCAGTGCATGCTATAAATTCTGCAGGGTGCCCAAACCTTTGCAGACGCCATTTTTTTGTTTTCTGTTATTTTGAAAGTGTAAATGATGGAAATAAAATCTAACTTTTGTTGACATATTATAAGAATGTCTAATCTGTAATTTGATGCCTTTTGGAGATTTTTCCATCTTTCCTTGGCTTCTTTATGCACATTAATACAAATTTTTTAGCTGGGGTGCCCAAACTTTCAATCCCCACTGTATATATATATATATTGTACATTCACATCAGTCCCTAACCCTCAAGGGGTGTACAATCTAAGGTCCCTAGCTTACTTACATTCATATACTAGGGACAATTTAGACAGGACCCAATGAACCTACCAGCATGTCTTTGGAGTGTGGAGGAAACCAGAGTACCCAGAGGAAACCCACGCAGGCAAAGGGAGAACATGCAAACTCCAGGCAGGTGGAGCCGTGGCTGGGATTCAAACCAGCAACCCTAGTACTGCCAGGCAGAAGTGCTAACCATTAAGCTACTGTGCCGCCCCAATAGTACCAAAGAATTATGAACATGTGTAAATAGAACATCATTCTGGTGATATTGTGGCTTGAGAGTCTAGGCAGGTGGACCACATTTTTTCAAACTACTTTGAGCATCCTCTAACCTTTGTATGTTAATTTATACATAGGAATTGTCCAGTTAATAAGCCAGTGAGAGACACAGGATTTCTGTTGTATCACTATCAGTTTTTTAGCATAAAAGACCAATAGACGTAAAAGGAGTTTCATACGGTTGGGAAGGCTAGCCACCTCTAAGTATCTCAATAAACATCATAAAGGGTTATATATATTAGGTAAGTGGAGGACCAAACTTATAAGTTTGGCCATTTCAGACCAAAGGTATGTATAGGTGGACACTCCCAAACCATATGGTAAAATGTTCCAGCATTACAGCGGCATTTGGAGCAAGAGGGAGATAGAAGTTTACTCATTTTAAAAAGAATGTATGGGGTGTAATATATGTGGCCTAAGATTTTCATCTGGATAACTTTATCTCTGGAAGAGATCACCATGGGTACCTGAATAGAGAGAATTTTCTGCCAGGCTTCCTCTGTTAAGTCAGGAATATCTCTCCTCCATTGAGATTCAGTTAGCAAGAGTCTCTTGGTTTTGGAGTGAAGTAATGAAGAATAATATGTGGAGATAAGTTCAGAGTGTTCTGGTTAAGAAAGTACGTTTTCCAGCTCAGAGACCTGTAAGATTACATTAAGTAGTCAAAACTGGGCTGCTGCAGTGTGGCGTAATTTTAAATATGAGAAATATGCTCTATTTGGGAGATTATAGCCCTTTGAAATTCTTAGAAGGATTTAAAAGTACTTGTATTGTACAGATGTAAAGCATGTTTCACTCTATACCTAACCCAAAATGAGCCACCTCTATGCAGAAAAAATTCACGTAGAATGTGGGTTGTGCCAGAGAGTGGTGTTAGGTGAGTATCTACTAACCCCCATGGGAGTAATCAACCTGGACGCTTTAAATATATGTAGCGTCATAGCTAATATTTTAGTATCCTCTCACATCATAGTGGTTTGCGTATGTATTAGGTTTTAAAGAGATTCATAAAGAATTGTTCTTGGAGCTATAAATACAGGAGGAAGATGTTCCCTTTGGTGGGACCCTTCAGAAGG